TGATAGTATTATTTGTCCCAATCAAATGTAGAGCTATTACATCCCTTCATATCTCTTATATCATCTATATCAAAGAGGTATCATCTCTTTTTTTTTTTTAACCTCATTCTTCATTTTCTACATTTTTTCATTTTGGCTGTCAGTTTCCACTACCAATTCACCCTTTTGTCATCACCATAATCCTGCCTGCTCTTCCCATCCCTGTTTTGAACCTATTCCCCTCTCCACCTCATAGAATGTCTCTGGTTGATAGTTGCTTGTTAATTTTAGCTTTTACTTTATTATACTTTCTCTTTTTTTTCCTGATTTCCTTATACTACTGCTATGAGTGAAACCATCTGGTATTTTTCTTTTTCTTTCACTAAGAATAATCCTTTCCAGCTCCATCCATGTTGCAAAGGGCATGGATTTATGTGTTTTGGTTGCTGAGTAATATTCCATCATTTATATGTACCACATCTTCTTGATCCAATCATCTATTTTTGGATTTTTGTGTTGATTCCACATCTTCTCTATTATAAATAGTGCTGCAATAAACATAGGGGTGCAGGTGTTCTTTTGAATTAATTTTTTTTTTGTCCTTTGGGTACATACCTAGTAGTGGAATTGCTGGATCATATGAAAGCTCCATTTTTAACAGTTTGAGAAACCTCCAACCACAATGGCCAAACCAGATTGCATTCCCACCAGACATATAGGAGAATTCCTTTTTCTTCATATCCTATTCAACATATGTTGTTAATTTTTCTTTTTTAGATTTTTATTTATTTATGCATACAGATTGGGGTACAGGCCAGAGGTGCAAGGGCAGTGAGAGGATTCACCAGAGAAAAGAGTTGGGAGCAGAACAGGCAGATTGACAAAGCACACTGCTGAGGGGAGCAGTGGGCGTGTCAGGAGAGATCTGCTGTGCCATGTGGATCACTTCCTGGGCGGGGATCAAACTCACACTGAAGCTGCTGTGTCTAACGTGAAGTGCTGCATCCTGCCCCATGCACCACCAGGGTGGGCAGTTGTTAGTTTTTTAATATGTGCCATTCTCACTGATGTGAGATGGTATCTCGTTGTGGTTTTGATTTGTATTTCCCTTATTACAAGTGAGATTGAATGTTTTTTCATATGACTGTTGTCTGTCTGCATTTCGGTTGGAGAAGTATCTTTTTAGTTCTTCTGCCCATTTTGTGATGGGGTTATTCACTTTAATTTTGTTGAGTTTCATCAGCTCTTTGTAGATCTTTGTGATCTGTCCTTTATCGTTAGTATTGTGTGCAAAAATTTTCTCCTAATCAGTGAGGTGTTTCTTTGTTTTGGTTAATGTCTCTTTTGTTGTACAGAAGCTCCTTAATTTGTTGTAGTTCCAACTGTTTATCCTTTCCTTCATTATCTTTGCTTTGGGAGATATATCTTTAAAGATGTTACTGAGGTGAGTCATGTAACCAGTTGTGTCATCTTAAATAATACTAAACACACTTAGAACCATATCAGAGAATGCTTCAGAAATCAAGTACACTTTAGAAAACCAAACAGTAGAAATTCTATTATATTTACCAGTTTTCTTGCTTTTTTTTTCTTCCTAATGTTCTAAATTTCTTCTCTTATCATTGCCTTTTATTTAAATAAGTTTCTTTAACCATTCTTTCTTTCAAGGTAGAAGTTTTGGTGCAACATTTTAAACTCCCACCAATAGAACACACGGGTTCTTTCAAGTTTCTCCACATCTTCAACAATACTTCTTATTTTTGTTGGTTTTTACAATAGTCATAAAAATGAAATCACACATTATTGTGGCTTTGGTTTCTTTAATGATTATTGCTGTAAAGCTTTTTTTTTTTTCATATGCTGTTGGCCATTTTATATCATCTTTGGAGAAAAATATATTAAAATACTTTATCTGTTTTAAATTGCATTTTTTTTGGTAGGAGTGTTTTTGAAATTTTTTTTAAGATTTATTTATTTATGCATACAGAACTGGGGTACAAGCAGTGAGAGGATTCACTAGAGACAGAATGGGGAGCAGAACAGGCAGACTGACGAAGTACACTGCTGAGGGGAGAAGCAGTCAGGTCAGGAGAGGTCTGCGGCACCATGTGGTCACATCTGGGCAGGAGATTGAACTCTCACTGAAGCAGCTGCGGCTAGCTTCATAGTGCTGTGTCCCAAACCACAGCTCCAACAGGGAGGACCTTTTTTTATTTTTTTTAATGTTTTCTGGATATAATCCACTTATTAGATATACTATTCATGAAAAACTTCTTCCCTTCTATAGTGTGCCTTTTCATCCTTTTGTGTCCTTTGATACATAATTTTTAAATTATTGTGTCCCACAAAAGGGACTTACATTAAAGATTAGTGTACCTAAAATAATTTTTCCTTCTCCATTTTTTTCTTCCAAACTTATTTTAAATTTGTGTTGCTTAATTAATCTCTACAAGTCAAATTACTAAAAAAACAAACAAACAAAAACTTCATCTCATTCACTTCTGTACAAGGTTCACTTCTTACAAGACATTATATTTTCTGTCTCTGTTGTAGTATTGTAGGGAAGTACATTTTTCCATCAATTTTGCATATCTCTGCCTATTTTTATATTAATGTAAGGTATTTCTTAACTTACCTTATATACATACAGTAGTTACTAAGCAAAGAATAATAACTTTAAATTTGGACCATTTCTCTGACATCTTTATATCTGGAAAGGCAGGGAAATCCTAGCCTTTAACTTGTACTTATCACTAGGAGTCAATATTCATAGAATTGTTTCATGGAATTGGACTTACACAGTTTATTTGTCATAATTCCCCAGGCTTATCTCCTCTGTTAATGTGATATCTTCCATGCTGTAGCTATTATTAATGGGTCACAATTTTTGAGCCAATATTGAATCAGACTTAATCCTGATTATTATTTGGAATTTTTTAACCATTGCTTTATTTCTAGAAACTAAATTTCCATTAATTTCCCATGTTAGTTTGCTAGTTTTAAAACCAAATGTTAATGGCATTTGTTATTGTCCAGGAATCAGCTTTTATCAATTATGTGTGAAAGCTTACTTTGATATAATAGTAGCCTCCAAGTTGACTACCCTACCAACTATCCCAGAAGTCATGACAAGGAATGGTTCACGGACCAAAGTAAGATGCGTATGGCCCATAATTTATTAACTATATTAAAATACACAGCAAAAATTAGAGAGAAAGAAGTGGGTAACATATGTTGGATAAGGTATAAAAGAGTTAGAAGGATCTCATTATCTGAGTTATGCAAGCAAATACCCTTTCTCTCCCTCTGTTCTATCAAGATTATCCATTTTTCATATAATTTTGAGAACCAGAATGGAGATCTGTGGGAGATCAGCACAGTGGATACCCTGGGTCAGTGACATATACCTCCTCTAATCAAAGAGATTCAGAGGAGCACATATGCCTGACCACAACTACAACTCATTTATTAGCCTGATACAATACCAGAATTTGATTTGTTTTCCTTTCGTAGAAGATACAATGTAACAGATTGATGTCACGAGTAGGTGACCCAATGAAGGCCTCAAAAATATCAAGTACTTCAAAGTATATCTCATAAATATTAAATATCTATTTGGCCCTTCAGTTGCTTCCTGACTATATTTAAACCTTATATGCTCTATGTATATCTACATGTCATTACATATTTCATGAATGCCTTATCTTTATATTTAGTTTCATATAAACTCCTTTGCTTATCTTATATTCTATAGTATGTTTACTACAGAACTAGTTTTTTTACGATTTATTTATTTATGCTTATAGAACTGTGATACAAGCCAGAGGTGTGGTGGGTGAGAAGGTTCACCAGAGACAGAGTGGGGAGCAGAACAAGCAGATTAACTGAAATACACTGCTGAGGGGAGCAGTGGGCGACTCAGGAGAGGTCTGACACGCCATGTGGGTCATCTCCCTGGCAGGGAATTGAAGTGGCTTTGAGAGCTTCATAATGCAGTGCTTTAACCTGTTGTGCAACCAGAGAGAGCCCTTTCTTTCTTTCTTTTTTTTTTTAAAGATTTATTTATTTATGCATACAGAACTGGGGGATAAGCCAGAGGTGCAGGGGCAGTAAGAGGCTTCACTAGAGACAGAGTGGGGAGCAGAACAGGCAGATTGATGAAGTACACTGCTGAGTGAAGCAGGAGAGGTCTGCCTCACTATATGGGTCACCTCCGGGGCTGGGGATGGAACTCGCACTGAAGCGGTGTGGCTAGAACACACCTCTCCTGAGCTGCCCACTGCTCCCACTGTATAAATATTGTAAAATATTTGATTCCTCCCTTCAGGTGTACTCCCCATAATTCTCCCACTATCACAGCACCCGTGAAACATTACCATACCCTTTGAGCTCTTCCCTGCCCCCTCTTTTGATACCTCTCACTTCCTCTCCCGTGATTTATGCTCAGGTTTGTGTGCAAGTTTTGTCTTTTTCCTGGCCCTTTGTTTTGTTTCCCTATATTGCACCTATTATTGAAACCACATGGTATTTTTCTTTTTCCTTCAGACTTATTTCACATAGCAGAGTCACTTCCAGCTCCATCCATGTTGCTGAAAATGACACGAGTTTATCTTTTTTGACGACTGAGTAGTATTCCATTGTGTGTATACATTTCTCTATCTCTCTATACATATAGTAATCACATTTTCTTGATCCATTCAGAATGAAGCATTTCTATTTATACTTATGGAAAGCTGTGACAACAGTTAGTGAATAAAGCAAGGTAAAGGGAATATGTAAAGTACATTGCTATTGATGTGGGTGAGAAGTGCTATGTATTCATATTTAGTAGTATTTCTCTTGAAAGATATAAAAGAAACTAGTAATGGTCATTTCCTCTCAGAAGGATATTTAGATGGTATTATATGTTATTTTGAACATTTTAAATTGTGTAAGACATGTATAAACTATTAAGTAAAAAATGATTCTTTTAAAGTTTCATTTATAGCATTACTAAGTCATTTTTCTTCTTTTATGCACAGGAACAGAAATGACATCACAATTGAACCTACCAGAAAATTCAGATAACTGGACAAAAGAAGATGTAAGTCGGTGGTTAGAATTTCATAAAATTGACCAAAGGCACAGAGAAATCTTGACTGCACAAGATGTGAATGGAAAAATCTTAAAGTTGTTAACTAAAAATGACCTTGTGGAAATGGGCATAACACATGGACCAGCTATCCAAATAGAACATCTAGTCAAAGAATTGCAAAAAACAACCTCTGAAGAAGTTATAAACAAAAAGAAAAAAAGCAGCAAAAATTTTACTCAAACACAAACTGTGGAACAAGAAGAAAATGGAGAAACTTCAAAGCAAAAAGTAAAGAATAAAGAGAAATCAACTGTGACTACTATCTCTACAATTACTAATGGTTCAAAATCACAAAAAAGTGAAGATGAAATAGATGACACAAAGGAAACACAGGCAGCCACAGAATTGACATGTCCATCATACCCTTTTGATGAATTCAATGATCCATATCGTTACAAATTGAATTTTAGTCTACAGCCTGAAACAGGACCACTCAATCTCATTGATCCAATACATGAATTTAAAGCCTTCACAAATACAGAGACAGCCACGGAAGAGGATGTTAAAATGAAATTTAGCAATGAGGTTTTCCGATTTGCTTCAGCATGTATGAATTCACGGACCAATGGCACCATTCATTTTGGAGTCAAAGACAAACCCCATGGAAAAATTGTTGGCGTGAAAGTCACTAATGTGTCCAAGGATGCCTTCATTGACCACTTCAATCTGATGATCCACAAATATTTTGATGATCATCAAGTCCAGAAAGCAAAGAAATGCATTAGAGAACCAAGATTTGTAGAGGTTTTACTGCCAAACAGTATTCCATCTGACAGGTTCGTTATTGAAGTGGATGTCATTCCAAAATACTCTGAATGTGAATATGATTATTTCCAGATTAAAATGCAAAATTACAACAACAAAACATGGGAACAAAGTCCAAAGCCCTCAGTCTATGTCCGAGATGGTGCCAGCTCTAAAGACTTCATGAGAAATAATGCAGATTTCAGAGCATTTAAATTAGATATAAAAGCACTGGCAGATTCTAGAAAAGAGGCAGAAGAAAAATGCAGAGTAAAAGCAAATCAAAAAGAGAGTGAGGGACCAAAGCTTGTTAAATTATTGACAGGAAATCAAGATTTGCTAGACAATTCATACTATGACTGGTATATTCTTGTCACAAATAAATGCCATCCAAATCAAGTAAAACACCTAGATTTTCTAAAGGAAATGAAATGGTTTGCTGTGTTGGAATTTGATCCTGAATCTGTGAGCAAGGGTGTCGTCAAAGCTTTCAAAGAAAGCCGAGTAGCAAACCTTCACTTCCCAAGTCAATATGTGGAAGGAAAAACCCCAACAAATGAGAAGATATCTAGTCTGAATCTTTATCAACAACCTGCTTGGATTTTCTGCAATGGCAGGTTAGACCTTGACAGTGATAAATATAAGCCCTTAGATCCAAGTTCCTGGCAAAGAGAAAAAGCTTCTGAAGTCAGAAAATTGATTTCTTTTCTTACACATGAAGATATAATGCCAAGAGGAAAATTTTTGGTGGTATTTCTGTTACTCTCCTCTGTGGATGACCCAAGAGATCCCCTCATTGAGACCTTCTGTGCTTTCTACCAAGATCTCAACGGAATGGAAAATATATTGTGTATTTGTGTACATGCTCACATTTGTCAGAGTTGGAAAGATTTACTTCAAGCACGATTAGTGAAGCAGCAAGATGAATTATCAAGCCAATGTATTTCTGCTTTAAGCCTTGAAGAGATGAATGGCACTATTCTTAAATTAAAATCAGTGACTCAATCTTCAAAGAGATTTTTGCCATCAATTGGTTCATCTACTGTCCTGCTGAAAAAGGAAGAAGATATTATGACTGCTCTGGAAATTCTCTGTGAAAACGAATGTGAAGGTACCCTCTTAGAGAAGGACAAAGAAAAATTCCTTGAATTCAAGACATCAAAAGAAGAAGACTTCTATCGAGGTGGTAAAGTGTCCTGGTGGAACTTCTACTTTTCTTCTGAAAACTATTCATCACCCTTTGTCAAAAGAGATAAATATGAAAGACTTGAGGCAATGATTCAAAATGGGGCAGATTCTTCAAAACCTACATGTGTCAGGATTATTCACCTGTATCATCACCCAGGCTGTGGTGGGACCACACTGGCTATGCATATTCTCTGGGAATTAAGGAAAAAATTCAGATGTGCTGTGCTGAAAAATAAGACAGTGGATTTTTCAGAAATTGGAGAACAAGTGACTAATTTAATCACCTATGGGACAACAAACCATCAGGAATATTTACCTGTTCTGCTCCTTGTTGACGATTTTGAAGAACAAGATAATGTCTATCTTCTACAGGCATCTATTCAAACGGCTGTAGCTAATAAGTACATCCGATATGAGAAGCCTCTAGTAATCATCCTAAATTGCATGAGATCACAGAATCCTGAAAGATGTGCAAAGATATCTAACACTATTGCCCTAATACAACAACTATCCCCCAAAGAACAGAGAGCTTTTGAGCTTAAATTGAAAGAAATTGAAGTACAACATAAAAACTTCAAAGATTTTTATTCTTTCATGATCATGAAAACCAATTTTAATAAAAAGTATATAGAAAATGTGGTCAGGAATATCCTGAAAGGGCAAAATAGTTCCACCAAGGAAGCAAAGCTCTTTTCTTTCCTGGCTCTTCTTAATTCTTATGTGCCTGATACCACTATTTCATTATCACAGTGTGAAACTTTCTTAGGAATCACAAACAAGAGGGCTTTCTGGGGAACAGAAAAATTTGAAGACAAGATGGGCACCTATTCAACGATTCTGATAAGAACAGAGGTGGTGGAATGTGGGCATTATTGTGGAGTACGCATCATTCACCCTTTGATTGCTCTCCGCTCACTGGAAGAATTGAGGACCAGCTATAATTTGAATAAAAGTCAAATTATGCTGGACATGCTAACAGAAAATTTGTTCTATGACACTGGCATAGGAAAAAGCAAATTTTTCCAAGACATGCAAACATTACTGCTCACGAGACAGCGTAACGAACATGAAGGGGAAACGGAAACTTGGTTTTCCCCATTCATTGAAGCATTACATAAAGATGAAGGGAATGGTGCAGTTCAAGACGTATTGCTTGAAGGTATCCATAGATTCAACCCAAATGCTTTCATTTGCCAAGCTTTGGCAAGACATTTCTACTTTAAAGAGAAAGATTTTCGCAGTGCTTTAAATTGGGCAAATGAAGCCAAAAAGATAGAACCTCAAAATTCTTACATTTCAGATACACTGGGACAAGTCTACAAAAGTAAAATTAGATGGTGGATAGAGGATAATGGAAAGAACAGAAGCATTTCAGTTGATGATCTCACTGAGCTTTTGGATTTAGCAGTTCATGCTTCAAATGCATTCAAAGAATCTCAACAGCAAAGTGAAGACAGAGAAAATGAAGCCAACGAAAGATTTCATCAGAAGTCAAGAAGGCGGTATGATACTTACAATATAGCTGGTTATCAAGGGGAGATAGAAGTTGGGCTCTACACAATCCAGGTTCTCCAGCTTGTTCCTTTTTTTGACAATAAAAACGAACTATCCAAAAAAGATATGATCAGTTTTATATCAGGAAGTGGTGATATTCCTGGGGATGCAAACAATGAATATAAATTAGCCCTCAAGAACTTTATTCCTTATCTAACTAATTTGCGACTTTCTTTGAAAAAATCTTTTGATTTTTTTGATGATTATTTTGTCCTTCTAAAACCCAGGAACAACATCAAGCAAAATGAACAAGACAAAACTCGGAGGAAGGTGGCTGGATATTTTAAGAAGTATGCAGATATATTTGGTCCCATCGAGGAATCAAATAGAGACTTGGGATCAAAGCTCAGTTTACCACTTCAAGTGGAACTATATCGGAGAAGCCTAGAACTTTTAAAGGCAGATAAGTTTTCTGGGCTCTTGGAATATCTTATCAAAAGTCAAGAAGATGCTGTGAGCACCATGGAAAACATAGTGAACAAATATACTTTTCTCTTTGAGCAATGCACTGTCAGAATCCAGTCAAAGGAAAAACAAAACTTCATCTTGGCCAACATCGTTCTATACTGCATTAAGCCTGCCTCCAAATCAGTGAAGCCAACTAAGATACTAAAAGAACAGCTTAGAGAAGTTTTGCAGCCAATAGGAACGAATCATCGATTTTCAGAGCCTTATTTCCTAGCTTCCCTCTTATTCTGGCCAGAAAATCAAAAACTAGATCAAGATTCTAAACAAATAGAAAAATATGCTCGGTCATTGGAAACTTCTTTCCGGGGACAATATAGACACATGTATCGTACAAAACAACCAATTGCATATTTTTTTCTTGGAAAAGGTAATGGTATGAACAGACTTGTTCACAAAGGAAAAATTGATCAATGCTTTGGAAAGACACCTGATATTTACTCCTTGTGGCAGAGTGGAGAGGTGTGGAAGGAGAAAAAGGTCCAAGAACTTTTGCTCCGTTTAAAGGGACGAGCTGAAAATAACTGTTTGTACATAGAATATGGGATCAATGAAAAAATCACTATATCCATCACTCCTGCTTTCTTGGGCCAACTGAGAAGTGGTAGAAGCATAGAAAAGGTGTCTTTTTACCTTGGATTTTCCATCGGAGGCCCACTTGCTTATGACATTGAGATTATTTGAGTTTGATCTTATCTTCCCAGGAATGTGATCCCAGCAAACAATACCTACTTATTTCTTAGACACATGACTTTAATGTTAAACTGAAAAATTGAAAGATAGAGTCTTTGGTTTTTCACCCCTGTACATATATATAAATATTTTATCATAGGATGAGTCCTAAAAAAAAAAAAAAAAGCCGGTGAAGAAGAAAGGAATGAGAGTAAAAGTATCAAATATTTTCCTTGATTTGGATAACACCATCAAGAATAATATAAGAGGGAGATATGTATGGAATTAATGGAATTAATGTATAGTTTATGTGGTGGTAAGAGGAAAGTTGGTAGGCACTATCGTTGCAACAAGTTTGGACTGGGTAAGCATTTGATTCTTGATACTTACAAATGTAGGAATTGATTGTATTCTTCTGTTCCTTGCAGTGTGTTTTTGAAATTGTGTTGTAAAACAAAAACATGAATGCAACTTGTTTTCGTCTTCATGACCCATTCAGTTTTTTTCACTGGAGGGGTTTGTTCCTTGCTACTGCAAGAAATTTCAGCTCTATGATTTATCAACTTGCTCTTGATTTAAAAAAAAAAAAACTGGTCAAACACAGTATTATAATGAGAATATCTAGTTACATTTTCCTCAGTGACCAATTCCTATTCTGTCCCAGGTTTCAATCTATAAAGAATCATCTCAGTTGGGGTCTCTTACCCTCCTAGGTGATTCTTCTGACTCAAACGAGCTTAGATAGGTGGTCCCCCCATGATCTATCTTAGGTACACGAAAAACACTCATGGATGTTTTCTCTACCGTTGGTAGGGAGAATAGTTCACACTCAATTCTTGGGGAACAGCATATCCCCTCAAAACAGGAGAATGTAGGTCAAGCCTCCCAAGTGAACTTCCAGAAGCTCCCTTCTCTCTAGGCTTTCCATGAGACTTCTGTGCCAAAAGAACCTCTTCATAATCCCTCTCTTCTTCAGTAACAGCAGTGGGGAACCTACAGCCTCAGAACAAATCCATTCTGACCTTTTAATAAGCTTTTATTGGAACACAACCATGCTCATTTGCTTAAGAATCAACTTTGGCTACCTTTGCTATCTAACCAGAGTTGAGTAGTTGCAATAGAGACCTTGTAACTCACAAACTTGAATATATTTTCTAGCTGACTCATTACAGAAAGTTTGTCAACCTTTACCTGGTCAACCTCTGTTATGTCTTTAATCAGTTGTCTAATTGATTTTTGGAGATTTACGTTGAAGACATGCATTTTAGTTTGTTACCTCATTTTGGCATCTGATTTCTATCATTTTAGGATCAAAAATTAAAATCTAAAACCTTTCACATGAAATCTGTATTTCACATTAAAATAAACTAAGGAGCAGCAGAGTTAAGAGTGTGCATTTTCCTTCTGAAGAAAAATAGTCATTCCTTCTGTGACAAGGTTGTCCCCAGAAGGAGAGGTGCCAGGTTCCCTGTTCCCCACCCTACCCCAACCCCCCTCCAGAAGGAGGGTGGAACTAAGGAGAGAAGAGAAGAATCTGGAGAGGAGATTGAAGAGGATGGAAGCAGGATGGGGAGCCAGAAGGAGACCTGAGGAAGCAGAGAGACAGGTAAAGAAGCGGCTCTTGCTTCTTGGCCCTGGACTGGTTGAAACAGGTGTGGGGAGAGACCTGTGGGGAGGTTAACAATGGCAACTTTTATCTTGATTTTGATTTTGTTCTTTTCCTTCAAGATTTGTCTGTCATTTCTGACCCTTTTCTATGGGTCCCACCAGAAGGTGTTTTAGACTTGTGGTGGGATTTCAGGCCTTGCTTTGGGCCAATCCCTTTGGGTCGACTTTTACCCTTGAGGGATGGGTAACTTTGGGTGTTTGATTTAGAAACTATATTCTTTGCCCTTTCTGTATTGCACACTAACTGTATTAAAGTTCCTTTCCACTAAAGGTCTTAAATGTTTTTGTCTTGATGCAGTGCATGGCAGAACCTATTCAGAACAAACAGGTTTGGGGTTCAGTGGTGCCCCTGTCTCCCTGCCCAGCTCTACCCTCCTTCTGGGTAGGCAGTGAACCTGTAACCTCTCCTTTTCCTGGGGACCACCCTGTTACACTTCCTTTTAATCTCTGACTTGGTTTCCCATTGTCCCACTCCCAACTAGAAGTCAGAGGGCAAGGGAATCCAATAATATAATCCATATGTGTCAACAGGTTACAGAAAAGAGGGGAACATATCTAGAGGAATAAACAAAATATCCAACACTATATCCATAAACTCTTTAGTTATCATAACCATCTCCAAGATTAATTTATGTTTGGAATTTAAATACAGATACATGACATTGAAAAGCACCTTAGGGCCTTCCTGGTGGTGCAAGGGGTTAAAGAGCAGCACTATGAAGCAATCCATAGCCACTGTCACATGAGTTCGATCCTTAGATAAGGGTATGACCCACAGCAGACCTCTCCTGACCCGCCGGCTGCTCCCCTCAGCAGTGTACTTTGTCAGTCTGCCCGTTCTGCACCCCACTCTGTCTCACTGCTCCTGCACCTCTGGCCTGTACCCGAGAGTTCTGTATGAATAAATAAATAAATCTTTTTAAAAAATGGAATGTAAGGCAACAGACAATACAATAGAGAAACTATGTAATTAAGAATCAAACTTTTCACTATGAGGATTCAATTGCAACAAATTTGTGTGCATTTAACAACATAGATACCATCCTGGTATATATTTTATATCATCTGTATCAGAATATCACACATTGAATAAATTCCCCAGCCCCAAATTTTTAGGCTATAGAAAATTTGAACAACCAAATTAGTATTTAGAATTCTGTGTATGACATCGAATCTCGCAAAAACAAAAAATAAAGCAGAAACAGAAAGCATATGTGTACCTGTGCAATTAGGCAACAACCAAATGCTAGCACAGACCAGCTTTCGAAACAAGTCTCTTGAAATTCCAAATCATCATCACACAGGTCACATTCCATTACCACACGAAAAGTTAATTAGGGATATAACAACAAAGGGCCTTCCTGGTGACATAGGGGTTATAGCACTCAAGCTATTCCAGCTACTATACCTTGGATTTGATCCTGGGCCAGGGAACTGACCCACATGGCTCAGCAGAACTCTCCTGGATCTCCCGCCATTTCCCTCAGCAGTGTATTTCAGTAGATCTGCTTTCTCTGCTCCCCACTCTGTCTCTGTTGAGTCTGGCCTACACCCCAGTTCTTGTATGCCTAAGTACATGTATTTTTTAAAAAGACACTACCAATAAAATAATCATTTTAAATGCCAATGTGAAACGCCCGGCTAGCTAAGTCGGTACAGTATGAAACTCTTAAAATGCCAATGTGAGTTTTAAAACCTTTAAAAAAATAACTCTGAAAATAAGAAATGACCCTCCGTTCCTGTCCAACCAATTTATAGGAGTGTGGGCGCCACCTCAAACAGTGGCAGTAATACACATATTCCACTAGATGGCAGTATTACTTTATAGTTTTTCTCATTTGTCAGCATGGTGGCGTCAAATTACACCAACGACTACCCAATCCAAGAATTAGATTTCAAATCCAGTTCTAGGACCTTTAAGGTTTGACGTAAATATCTAATAATGAGGAAGTAATTATATTATAGCGAATAATTTTAATGTGCTGTGCAAATTTAATTTTTTTCACACAATAGTTTACAAAATCTCCTGTATATTTTTCATTAATTCTTTTTCAGTTTGTGCGATTTTATAGAATTTTTAAGAGACAAAGACAAGACAGAAAGCATTTCCTGTTACACTGGGAAGGGGGGAAAGTCCTCTAAATTGTCTTCAATTCACATACATACATAAAGCGAGTTTCCCTTTAAAATATGGCCCTGTGACAAAAAGAATACTCATATTAAAAAGAGATTTGAGAAACCATCTATTTTAACTGCTTGCATCTTAAAAATTTACAAATGGAGAACTTTTCTATTTTTAAAGACAGCAGGGAAGGAAATCATCAGTCAGGAAGTTCTTCTTCCCGTCTAATCTAAATCCCTCCTGACGAATTTTAATCTCATTTCCTCTAGTTTGAATCTTCCCAGTGTGGCTAAAGGAATAAAATTTCTACCATCCCCATGTAGAGAATAACCCTTCACGTCCTGGAATCTGTAGATCAGGCTCACCTGAACTACAAGGTGAATCTCAATGAGGAAGGCAGCAATGAGAAGTAGTCAGGTAAATTATTAGTAGCCCAAAACATTATGGTAAAGAAACTCTCAAACAAATGTCTCTATAATATAAGAAGATTTTACCTGGAGAACATATGAGCTCTTATCTCCAGTCTACTCCACTAGCATTCTGGATCTTTCATGGGTTAGATAAATATAATCGTGATCATATTGTGAACAAGATGCTTTAATCAATTTTCTAATCCTTCAACATGCCTGTAAGGCAGGAGGGACTATTAAATCTTGTCATCATTGTTACGATTCTGTCTTCTAAATGAGGAAACTGAGCTCTGACATTTGTCTTGCCCAAGGGCACACAGCTAGTAGGAACTGGAGGTGGGCTTTCAGTTATGTCAATCCCCAGACTGTGCTGTATTTACACCAGGGTCCTCCTCCCCCTTTGCACGTTCCAGAAGTGCCACTTTTCTATACCAGAAGAACTGAATAGCACCATTTTTCCTAGCCAAGAAAAGTTGAAGAGCACATTCCCTTGTATAGGAAAAGCAAGCTTAGCATCAGCTTTTGTTTTGCAGTCAGCTGATCAATAGAGTGGCGCCCCCTAATCTCCTTCGCTGAAACTGCTTTTTACAGGTGTGTACTTGTCATGTCATTCTTGGGGTTACTGTATGTCACTGTTATTTTAGGCTTGATGTATTGTTTAGTATGATTTGGAATGATGGGGGTAGTATCTGGGAATGGTAAAAACTTTCCCATACACGTTCAGAATTAAGTCTTCTCTTTAAGCCATTTTTACCTTACAAAAGTTTTCACAGAAAGGCACTAATGGTGGGTGGGGTGGGGGTTTGGGTGCGCACGAGAGGAAGGAACCTGTACATCTCTTATCTTCAAATTCTGTGAGCTTAAAAGCAATGGACTCTAAGAAAGGAAACCTGAAAATAGGAGAGGATGTTCTTTATCCAAGTCCTGCTTCTCCCCTAATAGGGAACAGTTGAGTAATTGACAATTAACATTGCTGAGTTGATGATGATCAGCTGTTCTGTGTCTACACTCGGGACAGAAGTACTCAGGTGAAGGAAAGTAATACCTACCAGTAAAGATTACCATGTGGAAAAGGTTACCAAGGGGCCCTCCCTCCTGGTACAATAGGTTAAAGCACAGCACTACGAAATAGGAGTTCAGTCACTGGCCAGCGCGGTGACCCACATGGCACAGCAGACCTCTCCTGTCTTGCTCCTTCCCTCAGCAGTGTCTTTCATCAGTTTGCCTATCCTGCTCCCCACTCTGTCTCTGGTGAGTCCTCTCACTGCCCCTGCATATCTGGCCTGTCCCCCAGTTCTGTATGCATAAATAAATAGGCTGCCAAGGAAAACTGTACAATTTACTCTATCTACTCTGCTGTCTTCAAAAATAAGAAATATCCCCAGTAGTCAGGAGTGGTCAACTCTGGCCCTACCAGAAGTTAAGGCGTGGACTAGATGGGTATTTCTCTGAGTCCTGAGCCATCCTGAGCACTGAAGATTAGTAACTGCCTCATTACAGAAGCCTGTCCTCTCCCTCTCTCTTTCCCTCCTTCATTCTTCTTTCCTCACTATCTGCTTTCTTCTTTCTCATTCCTTTCTTTTTGATTTTCATTTTAAAATTACAAAGCAACCACATAATTGTTGACAAGAAAAATCTAATAATATAGACATATCTACAGTAAAAAAAAAAATTCAAGTTGTCACTTCCCACCTCAGTACCCCGCTGTCCAGGTGGTAACTGCTGATAAGTTTGGTTCATATTCTCAGGGCATTTTCGTGCACTTACAAAGAAAAAAAGGAAGGAGATAGGAGGGAGTTGTTTCTACAAAATTGGGATAATATTGTACACATTGCTCTATATCCTGCTTCTTTCACACAAACCTATCTCATAGATCTCTATGAGATAGATCTTTTAGCACCTAGACAGTATTTGTTTACATTGGTATGTTATAATGTAATGAAGATTTCCCTATCAATAGATATTTACACTTGCTCCAATTTCTCCCTATTCAAGGCCATGCTACTGAGAAATCATTGCCCTTGTCTACTCCTGCAGTTTACTGGGATGGGAGCCTCCCTGGGGAGCTGCTGGGACTAGTGTTACTGGAGTTTTGATAGGCCCTATCAATTTGTTCTTCAATGATCTCTGGGGATTTATACATTACCAGTTAGTAACTTTTTTTTTCTTCCACAAAATAGACAAAGACTTTCCAGAATACCACATAGTTGGAATCATATAATATGTAGCCATTTTCAGACTAACTGCTTTCTTTTAGTAATACACATTTTAGGTGTTCTTCTATGGCTTTTTCATGGCTGATGGCCTATTTCTTTGTAGTGACAAATAATATTCTTTTGTAT